AAATTTTCTAGAATAACAAGTATAGCCTTAATTGTACTATTTTTGTACTTTTGTAGTATCTTTGTTCTTATACCTACTCTTTTTATTTAACTTCCTGATTTTGATTTCTGTAAACCTGTATACTTACTCTCTCTAATTAATTTCCTAATTTCTGTAAACTTGTATACCAACATTTTTTCTTAGTTAAGACATGACCCACCTAGATTAGCTAGCTACCTGTGGGCATGTCCAATTTGTTAAAATAGTCATTAGAAATTAGAATAAATAAAGGTTGTTGTTGTTGTTGTTGTTGTTGTCGTCGTATAAGCTCGCTCGAAGTAGATCTCCGTGTGCCAGGAAATCGTGACGAGTTTCTGTTCTCGTTGCCGGGTGGTCTTTACCAAGTTTATTTCCCCCACTTTTTGTTGTGCCGTCCGCTAAGGTTCACTTTCCCCTGTTAAGCACGCGAAAACCTATCGTAACAACTGACGCACAGAAAAGCGATTTTTGAGAGAATTCAGCGCCTTGTTGCAGCCACTTTACCAGAAAAGGAAGAGAGCAATATTGATGCGGGGGAAGTGTAAGTTTTTGTTGAAATAACCGTGAAATCTGTGATAAAATGTACCATAAAAATTTTCTCGAGCTCCTTGCGTAAGGTTTATTGTGAGATCGATATCTTGTAATGGTTTTGAAATATTACAAAGTTAAGTATAAATCAGAAGAAATGACCCAATAAAGAAATTTCAGTTGTAAATACGTGTGCACAGTCTACTTCCGGTTTATTTCTAAGCTCGTAAACGCGAATATTATTAAGAGTATGCCTTGTGAAGATCAATTTGCTGTGTGGGGCTGTGAGAGCGATCGAAGGTACCCAGAAAGGCAAAAGATTTTTCCTCACGTTGGGATATTGAGATTCTACTACCCCAAGAATAAGAAATGTTTCGTCGTGGGCCAGAGCTATTAATCGTGGTCAATTCAAGGTCACCATGAGAACGAAGGTCTGCTCAAATCATTTTGCACGGTCATGTTAAAACGCAGACTGCAGACCGTAGACCGTGCAGACGGAGGAATTTTTTGTTACTTACTAATGCACCTTTTGATACGGTACACCTATGATTATATATATAAATTTACTTATCATTAATTTTTGATGAAAAATCTTATTTAGAGGAGCTTCCACGAAATGTACGAATCAATGTTTCATCTTTATGGAAATGTCCTATCAGAAAAATGGCGTGCAAGTGTATGGGTACGATCTTATTTCCGAGTAAAAGTCGATTTTAGCTTGCAGCACTTTATTTACTCTAAAGTTCTTTGGTGTCGTGTTGTGA